AAAATCAAGTTTTTCTAGAAATTATTATTTTTCGAAAATATTTATCCTAATATCAAACATTTTCCAACTGTCCCAAAGAATGCCATCTAATTATTGCCGTGTGGTGTGGAACACATCGGTTCAACTAGTCATCCGCCCACTGTAAAAAAGGATTTCTTCAGCCAAGTTAAATTAACTTCATTCAAGATACTAAATGATTCCTATCTCTTCGAAACAATATTTTCTTGCCAGCAGTAAAAATTATTCTTGTGTTACATGTTTTCCTCGGAGAATATATTTTCTCCTTTTTAAAACATAAGCAGTCTTAAACGAATGATAAAAACTCTTGTTATTAAAATTGTCGCATTTTGGGTCGAGAATAAATATTCTTGAAAAAAAAATAAAATTACTTGAAGAAAAAAAACAAAAATAATTGAGTTTTGGTGAAGTAGTAATTATTCTTCATTCAAGATATTATTCTTCGCATTAATCAAAGGAATTCTTCAATGAAACCGTTCTTTTCTCTATAGAAAGATTTTGTGTCTTGCGTTAATAAAATGTATTCTTGGTTAAAGATAATATTTATTTGAAATTTTCTTCAGTATAGTTAATATTTAAGCTACATTCGGGATTTTTAAGAAGCAGATGGGGGGTAAACAATTTTGAACTTTTTTGACACAAACATTTATTTACAAATAAATGAAAATAAAAATGTACATAGTGTCAAAAAAAGTTAAAAAATGGTTTACCCCTACTTTCTGGAGTATTTCATTCAATCAATAATGACCTAATGTCTACGGCACTGTAATCGTTCGAATAATCACTCATTTTTAAACATTTAAGTAAACACAAGCACGGTTACTTTTCAAATGAGGGTATAGGTAGGACGTATGAAACAAGTTTATCCCCTCCCCAACGGACAGCTCGTAAATACAAGAAATTATCTAATGATTATTCTTGAAACGAAAAGTCAAACGATCAGATTTTCTTAATACAAGAACAATAAATTTTAATATTCTTCAAGTAAAATTTACAAGCCCTGATTCTCTTGTCCCAAGAAAAGGGTAATTTTTAGAAAATAAGAAATATTTTACTTGAATTAACGCAATGCATTTCTTCAATGAAGAAAAATTCTTGAACCAAGAGTTTTTTTCAAGAAATATATTTACTATTTGAAAGAAATTGAACATTCTTGTAACAAAACATTCCTCTTAAATCAAATCAAATTAACTCTATTCAAATAAATATTTTTAAGAAAAATAAAGTTCTATATCTAAGAAATCCTTTTTATCCGTGCCTGTTTAAAGGCGGCAATATAAACGACAGCGGTAGCACAGTGAACGAAACCACACGGCTACCCGCCACTAAAGAGGTCCGAATGACCGAACGAGTCTGTCGGTGCCCGGTGAGGAACACATCTGGTTCTATAAGTTTGACCTTGTTATGTACAGGGTGCGGCAGAGAGGACGGACGGTTTTGAAAAAATCATAAAATAGTTAATTTTTACTTAACAACAAATTTTTTGATGGAATCAGGTTCGCAAGGAAATAGCATTTGAGACAGTCAAGTGTGGAAAATCACATCAGGCATGTGGTGGCCGCAATCGTTGATGCAGTGCTGGAGGCGTTCTTGGAAGTTCGCGTAGACTCTCTCCAACATCGCTCTCTCAACTTGGGCGACTTCCACGCGAATTGCGTCCTTTAATTCGTCCAGAGTCCGGGGCTTGTTCTCGTATACTCTAGCCTTGAGGTGTCCCCATAATCATAATCATAATCATCTTTATTCGTGTTAAGTACAAAAAGTTTACACAAGTCGAAATACAAGTTACAAAATAGATACACAAATTACATTTAAAATTTCAACATTAAAATTAATAATTTATTATAAAATGGATATACCTAGTACAAGCATAGAAAGACTAATTACTACATATTTTGACAGCCAAAGCTTAAAAAGTCATCTAAACTATAAAAAGAATTGTTTATTAAAAATATTTTTATTGAAGTTTCAAATTTTTTTCTTGTTAACATTCTTATTTTTAAAGGAATTTTATTATAGAAGATTGGCCCAAAATTATTTGAACCATTTCTGCTGGCGCAAATTCTCGAAAATTCAGTTTTCAGAGTGCCTAGTTTTATAATCGTGAATATTTTTTACCGTCTTGTAGGAGTTTATGTTGTCATAAACGTGCAACAAACTAACATATACAAACATAACAGGTAGGTTTAAAATTTTTAATTCTGAAAAGTATTTTTTTACGCATTCAGTGTATCCCGCTCCTGTCATTATTCTCAGGACCTTGCGTTGCAGACCAAACAATCGTCCACTACACGGAGCGTGTCCCCAGCATATTAACCCATATGAGGTGCGATGCAATCAGTGAATAGTAGGCTGTTTTTATTATATTCATAGGGACCAGATTACGCAAGGACCTTATCACAAACATATTTTTTGATATTTTGGATGCTATATGGTCAATATGATGTCCCCAGTTTAACTTTTCATCAAGCATTAGGCCAAGAAACTTAACACTTGGGGGATTTCCAATGTTTATTGAAGTTGAGTGAGTGAAGACGATGTTTTTAGTTTTACTTTCATTTATTCGAGGTAAAATATTGTGTTGTATGTAGCCTATAGTCAGTTAGTTTTTTATTTAAAGTTTCTAAATTTTTACAAGGTATTACTACTGAAGTATCATCTGCAAAAAGGATAGTTTCAGAACCTTTAAGCCCACTTATATCATTTATGTAAAGCAGGAATAATGTAGGGCCGAGGACTGATCCTTGAGGGACACCTGACTGAACTACTGCATGTTTAGACACCTTATTTTCAAACGAGACATATTGTTTTCTGTTTAATAAATATGAACTTAAAAATCTGCAGGAGTCTTCATTAAAGTTATATTGTTTTAATTTATCTATTAAAATATCGAAATCTACACAATCAAACGCTTTATTTAAATCATAGAAAGTTACTCCTACAAATTGATTATTATTGTAGCCCATACAAATGTTGTTTATCAAATGTATTGCCGCAGAACTGGTCGATTTGTTTGCTCGAAAACCAAACTGATTTTTGTTATACAGGTTATAGGTTTCAAAGTGACTTGTAATTTGTTTTGCAATGGCGTTTTCAAAAATTTTAGAAATGATTGGGACTAATGAAATAGGTCTATAATTTATGTTTATGTCGTCGCCGCCCTTATGAATAGGTACTATTTTAGAAATTTTTAGTATTTCAGGATACATAAATTAAACAATTTTGTTAATGGTTGAATAATAATATTTTTAATTGATTTTATTATATTTGATGACATTCCAAAGTGGTCGCAGCTATTTTTATTTTTAAGATTTTCTATGCACTCACGAACTTCGTTGTAAGAAACATTTTTAATTTTGAACTCCGAAAAATTTGATTTATTTAAATAGGATTTATAAGATATATTTATGTTTGGTAGGTTATTTTTAATTTCAATTGAAATTTAGTAAAAAAATTCTTTAGGTCATTGACATCAATAATACTGTTGTTTACTTTGTTTTTAGGTTTTTCTCTGTTTTTATTTATTATATTCCAGTAGGTTTTAAGTGTGTTGTTTTGTGCAATTATGTTTAAATAGTAAGAATTTTTCGCTTTTTGAAGTTCAGTTTTGTAGTGTTTTTTGTGCAATTTTAGTTGCTGCGACAATGCATTTGATGGGGTAAGTTGATTTGCCTCGCTGAAAAATTTGACTTGTTCTCTAATATTTCTTAATTTATTATTAAACCATGGGTTTTTTATGTGTAGATTCTGTGGGTTACGTTTAATTTCAATTTCAGGAAAATATATGTTTATATTATTATTTAGTATATTTATGAAATTGTCGAATTTTGAATTTATATCAACAAAGCCATCACTCACAAAACTCCAATCCACGTCACATAAATTTTAATAAAAGTAAAATTTGCTTGCATTGTTTACGACTCCCAGTTTAAAATTTGTTATTTCATTATTTGTGAGGTGGTGTTCAGAGAAACATATTATGCTATATAATAGTTGCAGTTCGACTGGACGAAATAGGCTTCGAGTTCTAATAATTTGTTTCTTACCGATTGTATGTTTAGGTGAAAAACTTTAAAAGAATTGTGTTTTTTTATTGTATTAATTTCCTTTGGGTTTTGAGTTTTGGTAGTTTTTATTTGTGTTCCGAAATAAATATTCGGAAACTTCAATACCTGCTGGCCAAAGCTTAGCATCCAAAAGAGTGTCTTTCATTCCTCGATCAGCTGCAATTTTAAAGCTATTAAAACCCCAGTTATTTTTTAGCTGAATACATGTGAAGTTTTTTCCTTCGAATTGGGCCTTAAGCCTTTGTTCTAAGTCTTCTGCGGTAAAGGACGGTTTAAACTTAGATGCAAAGAGCCATTCTTTTTTACCAACTGCAATGTTTTCTCCACTTGTATTTGAACCTATTATTTTATTTGCCTGGTCTTGATTTGTTAATTCGTTAACTTTGGCTTTGATTTCTGCCTCCAGTATCGCATTTGATACGTCATTTTTTGTAATAACGTTTTTGTTTTCATGTTCCTTGTTTTTTGCGTTTTTACCCTTATTTTTAGTATTTTTTTCTTCCTGTACCAAAATGTTAGACTTGACAACGTTGGAACTTAAAATTGTTGTATTTATTGGGTTAGGTTTTTGGATTTTTGGATTTTGAGATTCCAGTAGCGATATTATTTTTTCCAAGTCGCCAATTCTATTTTTTAGCTCAGTGTTTAATTCCTTTGCACATATTAGCTCAGTTTGTGTACATTTTAAATCGCATTTTAATTCACTGACCTTGACTTTATCCTCAATGTCATCTACTTCGATTAGGATAGATTCGATGTTTTGCACATTTTTTGGGTTTAAATCCTGAACTAATATAGCAGTTTTCACAGGTTCACTTAACTTTATGTATTCAGGTACGGTTTTAGTTAAAACCATTTGCACTAATTCAACTTTTTTCAATTTCATTAATTCTTTAATAATACTTTCGTTAACAGCCATGTTGCCACGTTGACGAATAAGAAAAAAACTTGCATCATTGGCCCTTACTTCATCGAAGACGGTAATGGTCGTGCTGTTACCGTGAACTCAGAGCGCTACGTCGAAATGATCACCAACTTCTTTTTCCCTGAATTGGACGTTATTCGCCCTCTCTTCCCTGGTCGCCTTATTTCCAGGTTTGGTGATGTTCATTGGCCTCAGGTCCCGGGATTTATCCATGGATAAATCTCGCTCTCTCAACTTGGGCCACTTCCACGCGAATTGCTTCCTTCAATTCGTCCAGAGTCCAGGGCTTGTTCTCGTATACTCTAGCCTTGAGGTGTCCGCATAAGAAAAAATCGCATATGCATATGCGATTTTTTTTTGGAAGTCGCCCAAGTTGAGAGAGCGATGTTGGAGAGAGTCTACGCGAACTTCCAAGAACGCCTCCAGCACTGCATCAACGATTTCGGCCACCACATGCCTGATGTGCTTTTCCACACTTGACTGTCTCAAATGCTATTTCCTTGCGAACCTGATTCTATAAATAAATTTGGTTTTGAGTAAAAATTAACTATTTTATGATTTTTGTAAAACCGTTCGTCCTCTCTGCCGCACCCTGTAAGTTTAATATACATATACATAGTATACATGTTGGCGAAACTTATAACTGAATACATACATTTTTATTACGTTATTGTAAAACATATTTTATATTTTAATCATTAGCCTAATAGGCTGGTGGATTTTAAGTATACCAATATCTCAGTTATTAGACATGGGACCCACACCAAATTTATAATAGTTTATATTGACATTAAATAAACAAGTTCGGCGCAAACAGAATTTAAATTGAAGTTTGCGAAAAAAAGTTAGTTTTTCCTGTCGCCTACCCTGCCTCCAGGCCCCCCTATTTGAGATAATTCAAATTAAAGTGGTGCAATTTATTATCTACTATAATTTATCGACAAATTTAAAATTTTATTTAAAAAATCCAAATATTACAGTTTTTATACCATTTTAAATATTTTTTTATTTTAATAAAATAAATAATAAAAATTTAAAATCGAATAAAATCCACCAGCCGCATTACCTATTTAACATTAAAATAAATTAAAATTGTCACACACGGTTGAAAAAGTTAATTATTTATTAATATATGATTTTCTAATCCAAGATACCAAATTAACAAAATACGCTAAAAATATTTATACATAATTTTTTATTAAGAATGGAAACGTTCATTTTTAATCCAATATGGTAAAAACAGTATTTTTAAATGGGCAAAAACAATATATGCATATTCTTTGAGGTATACGTTTGAAGTATATGAACAAAACCCAATCAAATTTTCAACATTGTGATTGGTTTTCGTTTTTAACTTTTGTCTATGGATTTGCATGTTGTATTAAAATGTTCTGGATTTGTTTTAAAAGGGCGACAGGAAATTAAACTGCATTATTATTGATTTAAAGGGACTTAAATTTCAAAAAGAAATTTTATTTTTAAAATAAAATAAAAAAAATTTTAATATTCTTTATCTTTCTATAAATTGTTTTAAAAATGATACTAATAAGCAAGTGTTTTCCTTACACCAAATCCAGATATTATTTTAAAATAAAATTAGAATTTAAAATAGAAAAGGTCAAATGAATTTAAAATTGAATTTGTATCTGGATATATTTTTCATGTCTTTATTACCTTATTTTACGAAGTAACCTTTACGTTTGCATAAATAGCAATTTGGACTTTGTTTTGTTATAATTTAAAATGTAGGTTTAATAAATAATCATCTAATATGTAATATACTAGTATATAATGTATACTATTTAAAATATGTTTTCTACAACCAAGTGAAAAGTACAAAGTTGCGCTTCCAAAAGAAAGTTGCGAGCGATTTTTTACTTTGTCGTTCGCCGAGCGACAAAGTTACTTTGCTTAGTTACCATGGAAACCATAATAAAGAAACGTTTAGTGTATTTGCGACTTGACACAAACGTCAAATTTGAGGTTATCAATAATTATTAATTTTTACCAAACATTCCTATAGAAACACCAGTTGTAGATAAAATCCTGTGTGTAATTCGAGCGTAAAATGACATTGCCGCTCTCGCGAGATAGCCGAGCTCCGCTACGCGTCGCCCTTCAAACTTCTCGCTCAGAGCGGCAATGTATCACTTTGCGCTCTTAATACACAAATAGCTATTAAAAGTTCAAATGAAGTTAGTCATGGCATGGCATAAAATATTAACCACATTACTTACTCTTTCGAAGTAAATATCCTTGAGATTTTAAACCAAAAACTAGAAAAATAATAAATCTTGCACTATCTTATAAAGTTTAACAGATGTAAAATATTTTTTAATTTTGTTGTGCTGACTATCCAAATAGGAAAATAAAGTCTTCATTTTCTCAGCAATTTATTGACCGATTTTTAATACGATTAAAGAAAATATAATAACATTTACGGGGTAATATTAATAATCAAAAATATACAATTATGGTTATTTTGTTAGATAAACTGTGTTCCGTTTTCAGCTGTTAAATACTAAATTCTTGCAAATATCTCTTTTAATACATGCATTCTTGTTCGGGATGTTATTGTTCTCATTATTTTTATTTCTTTATATCTACTAAAATAATCCACAAGGATAAAATGGTTAATTCCTTTTTTGGAAGTGGTCCTAAAAAATTACCAATTTAAGTATTTTAATTTTTTTTAGGGGAAACCGCTACTGTTCTAGAGTATTCAATAATTTTATTAGCTGAAGTATTTCATTGAAGAAGGCTTAACAAGACATAGACATGACAAATAATAGACCAGCTTCTTTTTTAGTTTGAAAATATCGTTTTTTGGTGTCAGTAAGCCTTATATGATATTATTATTATTTTTTTTTAATATTATTAATGGACATCGACAACTAATGGTCATTAGCCCGGCTAATCAGAACATGTCAAATTATCTGGGCATTCTTCATGTACAGATCAGAAAAGGGTAGGTATATTAAGTAATCTTATATAATAGTGTGGAGTTGGAATAGATATCACAGGTAGGTAAGGCTTTACAATAATTATAATTTTAACATTAGATTTGTTTCTTTTAGGAAGAGCAATATTTTAAGAATTCCCTTGGATCGGAGACCGAGTTAAGGGGATTTAGTTCTATGAGTTCGCGCGTGTCTTCGTATAACGGACAATCATTCAAAATATGTTCTATGGAGAGAAAGACATTACAGGCATTGCATTTGGGGGGCCGCTTTTCTTCTAACAAATGGACTGATTATTATTATTATTATTATTATTATTATTATTATTATTATTATTATTATTTTTTTTTTTTTAATCCTTTTTGTCAAACTGAATTAAAACGACTTTAAGTCCTACAGGACTTTCATCTGCCACTTGTTAGATGGATCTTATTATCTTATGGTATTTTCGTTAAGGCTTCTTATGTTTAAAATGCGGATGACTGTTCCTTTTATTTTAAAAGATATTTGCATGATTGCCCAGAGCATTTTTAAAATTTAAAAATAGTTCACTCTAAAATTAAATTAAATTATTTTGTGCCTGTATTTAAAAAAAAAGTTAAAGATTTAATTTTAGTCGACTGATTTATTGATTTATTAATTTTGTATTTTTTTCTCTATGTATATACATTCCTATATGTGTATGTATACATACATTTTTTTTAACTTTATTTGTAATGATTATAATAATCATTATTTTTTTTGTATTTTATTTGTCTATGGATTGGGTTAAGTACAATAGCCTTGGCTTCGCCTAATGTAATATACAGGGTGTCCTGAAATTAGTGCACCATACTTTAACAGCAGATTGTACGTGCAAAAATAATAAAAAAAGTCCCTATAAACATAGGTCAAGAAATGCCTCTTAAGGGAGCTACAGCCCCCAGAAGGAAAGCCCCTGAAGATGGTTTTTATTTAATATCTCCAAAACCGTTAAAGATATAAAAGTGAAATTTGGGGAATTAATTAAACTTTTTTTGACTAATAAGACGTAACAATAACCATTTAAAATTTTTTATGAGGTTTGGGTCAGATTGATAGGAAGTAGGGTTAAAACCACCTTAACTTTTTTGTACGTATCTTGTACCAGAATTTTGTGTCAGATTATGAAATTTTAGAGTTTTGCACATAAAAAAGGTCATCTTGTTGAACTTCGATAACATACACCGTTTTCGCATAAAATCGATTTGAAAATTATTTTACATGGCATAAATATTCACAATTAAATCACAACCATAGAAATGGACTCGCGTGGTCCTTGGAATACGACTGCCATGTTTAGGAAAAAATAGAATAATTCAAGACAGGTGACAGTTTCATGTAGTAAGTGACAGGGTGTTTCTACTTTTTTATTTATATTAGATAAAAACCATCTTCAGGGGCTCCCTTTTCGGGGGCTGTAGCTCCCTTAGGAGGCATTTCTCGACCTATATTTATAGGGACTTTTTTCTTATTTTTGCACGTAGAATCTGCTGTTAAAGTATGGTGCACTAATTTCGGAACACCCTGTATGTATATGTTTACTATATTATGTAAATAAGTGAATAAAATTTACTGAATAAACAATTTTTATTATTATTATTATTAAAAATATTGTTTGTATATTCAAATTTTAAGAACTCAGTTTTTTCCTGACACATTTCTTTTCCGTTTTTATGACGTGAAAAGACCTGGTTGTTTTTAATTTCCTATTGCAATTCTTCTTTAAAGTTTCTAATATTTTTAAGTAGAAATTTGCCAAGTGATTTAGAGTTTAAATCTTATATTATAAAACTGATAAAATTTAAGAAATTTGAAAGTAATTGTATATGAGAGGCAAAAAAATAAAAATATAAAAAAAATCAAAATCCTGAGTAGAAATTTGTCAAGTGAGCCCATTAATTTCGACTTTGTAATAAAAATTAAAAATAAATATAAAATCATAATTTACTTAGTAGTAGAAAGTTACCACATACATTTTTTTAAAACTTTATTCGTTTATTTACAATGTTTGATTTAAAAAAATTATAGCATTTAATTTAAAAATTATTTATCGTAAAGATGAACAGCCGAAAACACGTAGTGGGGGAAACAAGACTACATTAAATAAAACGTATCAGGTTGTCGGGTAATAAAACGCAAACCAATACTTATTTCTTTTCTGGTGATATTTTTAACGGGACCAGTTAACAGGAGAGTTACATCAATGGGCCGATT